CTCCCAATTGGTTGTAAATAGCAGTTGGGTAACATACTCCTTGTTCTCATCCATTGGAGAGACAGAAGTCCTCTTTTCCAACTATGTAATGAAAATCTTTTCCTCGAGTATGATTGTGCCAACTTTGGGCAGATGCTAACCCTTGGATGGTATCTTAGTCTGTTTTCTGTTGCTTATAACAGAATACTTGAAACTAGGTAATTTAAAAAGAAAAGGAATTTGTTTCTTGCAGTTATAGAGGCTGAGAAGTCCAAGGTCAAGGGGCCTTCTTACTGGTTGGGACTCTCTGCAGAGTCCTGAGGCAGCACAGGGCATCACATGGCAAGAGCTGAGCATGCTACCTCAGGTCTCTCTTCCTCTTCTTATGAAGCCACCATTCCCAATCCCATGATAACCCATTAACCTATTAACCCATGAATGGGTTAATCCATTGATGAGAGCAGAGCCCTCATGACCCAATCACCTCTTAAAGGCCCCAACTCTCAATACTGCTACACAGGGGATTAGATTTCAGCATGAGTTTTGGAAGGGACAAATATTAAAACCAAAGCAGATGGCCAAAGAAATGCCATATGCTCATTAGGTTAATCCAGTATCTCTGAACCAATTAATTACAAGAGGGATGATATCACCATAATTGACTAATTGGGACCTACTCCTGGAGCTGGAAATAGTCAGCTTTTTCTGAGTGACATGTGATATTTAAGGGGAGATGTAGAGACTGAATAAAATTAGGAATTTTTTTCAAATTCCACCTTTTTTTTTTTTTTTTTGAGACAGGATCTCACTCTGTTGCCTGGGATAGAATGCAGTGCCATAGTCATAGCTCACAGCAACCTCAAACTCCTAGGCTCAAGCAATCCTCCAGCCTCAGCCTCCTGAGTAGCTGGGACTACAGGCATGCGCCACCATGCCTGGCTAACTTCTTCTTTATTTTTTGTAGAGATGAAGTCTCACTATGTTGCTCAGGCTGGTCTTGAACTCCTGGGCTCAAATGATCCTCCTACCTTGGCCTACCAAAGTGATAGGATTACAGGTGTGAGCCACCACGTCTTGCCTAATTCCACCTCATTTTAACAAAATTGGAATTTTTATTTAGAAGGAAGAAGAAAGGAAATGGATGTTCTGTAGGCAAACAGTATTCATTACACCTCTTTCTCAAATACTCAAACGTGAGTGTTTGAGCTAGAATTACACAATTGAGCTATGTTTCAGAGTATAGAAAAAGTGTCTAGGCTAGTGGATGTTTGTTGTTTTTGCATGCCCACATCCACCCTTCCTTCCTAATAGGGTCCAGAGTTTTTTGTTTTTTTTCTTGAAGTGTTATGTTTTCCTCAATTGTGTTTGGTAGAATTTAAGTCTGAGTGCCTGCTCCTTTCACTATACAAGCTGAAGGAAGCACTAGAGGCTCCTTCTTCAAGATCCTTCCTCTCACCATCCCATATAGAAGGCAGTGAGTGGCTTAAGGGGAAAAATATGATTTGAACCTTGTTTCTTCCAGCATCCAGTCCCTTGATAGTTGAATAGGTCCTACCCAAGTTTTTTCCTACTCCTAGACTAAGGAGCATATGGGCTTCTTGTATATTTTGTGACTTCTACAATATCTTTCTAATACATTTCTTTTTAAGTTTCAACTATTGCTACAGCTAACAACCAAAGAACTGTAATGGATACAACCACCCTCAAGTTCCAGTCTCTCCTAAACTGGGAATGGTTGAAAGGACTGACCACATGGTGATTAAGATTATCTATAAACACCTATCAGGGTTCTTTTTTAGGATAAAATGGTAACGTGGCTCCATGGTGAAGGGAAGAGGAAGAAGCATTATTATTGCCAAGGCTATGTATGACCAGGTTACTCTCAGACTAGATACTATCCATCCCGAACCTTGGTGAAATGGTTGCCTGAGGGTACATAGGCCCCATAACAGATAATCTGCACCTATTAATAGATCCTATTGTTTCCAGCAGCATGAACTCTAAGAACTAGCAGGGTTTTTATTCCACAAAATGGTATGCAAAATGTCAGCCAATCAGAATATAGCCTGAAACCACCAGCCAATAAAATATCACGTCCTCGTTGCCTCACCCAAATCACCCTAGTAACAGCAAGAATGAAACATAATAAGTAAGAAATGCAGCTGGGTTATAAATCTAGTCCAGAGAAGATTCATGGTAGTTGACTTTAACAGCACCGACGATTAACAGCTGAACCTCTCTGGGGTCTCCCAAATAAAACCTTCTGTGTGATTTGTGCTTTAACTCATCTTTTAGATCATTGTGAATAAGAACACTTTATGCTTTTATTGTTCTTTACTTTTTGCATTCTAGATTAGTGAAATTAATCTCTAAAAAAATGGGCCTGCATTGATCTTATAATGTTAAGTCAGTTACTAAGATGTCATGAGGAGAGCATTATACAAACAATAAGGCTTCCTTTAAAGAATTTTTTGAAGACAGGGATTCTATATGATGAAGATGAAGATGACAGGATTCTATATGAGGAAGATGTGGAAAATTAATTTCCACAGTTAATCTTTGGAAATTAATTGTGCAGGCTAGAAGCATTGAGTGGCTGAAACAATGAGGGGAATGTGGAAGGGCCTGTTTAAACAGTGGTGCTATCTTCCAGGTAAGTGCTGAAAAGCCTCTTGTGTTGAGGGAGGGGTTCTAGATAGAAGACCTGAGAGCTAGAATCTATCAGAACAGGTGGGAAGAAAGGGAAGATTTCCACCTTCCTCCATCTAATCTTATTTTTCTCTGTCTTCTACTACCATCACTTTTCTTCTTCTTCCCACTTTTGGTTTTAAAAACTTTTTTAAAAATTATGAAGGATAGCACACAAGCAGGAAAACACAAAGCATAAATGTACAGCTCCATAAGTTTTAACAAAGAAAATCTTTATTTTTTTTGAGACAGAGTCTCACTCTGTTGCCCAAGCTAGAGTGCCATCGCGTCAGCCTAGCTCACAGCAACCTCAAACCCCTGGGCTCAAGCGATCCTCCTGCCTCAGCCTCCTGAGTAGCTGGGACTACAGGCATGCGCCATTGTGCCCGGCTATTTTCTATGTATATTTTTAGTTGTCTAGCTAATTTATTTCTATTTTTAGTAGAGACAGGGTCTCACTCTTACTCAGGCTGGTCTTGAACTCCTGAGCTCAAACCATTGACTCGCCTCAGCCTCCCAGAGTGTTGGGATTATAGGCATGAGCCACCATGCTTGGCCAACAAAGCAAATATTTTTAAAATTACCACTTGGTTCAAGAAATAAAATATTGTCAGCACCTCAGAAACCCACATGTACCCCTGCACCCCTTTCCCTTCTCCCCAAGGGCAACTACTACCTTCACTTCTAACATTATAATTTCAGTTTGCCTATTTTTGAGCTATATGTAAAGTCAACTATACAGTAAATATTCTTTTGAACCGTCATCATTCAACATTTTCATGAAGGTATATTTATTAAATTATAACATACAAACAGAAAAAGGCACAAATCTTAAGCAGTACAACTTGATGAATTTTTCACAGACTAAATGTACCTATGTAACTAGCACCCAGATCAAGAAATGGAACATTACCAGAAGTCCCCTTTGTCCCTTCCAGTCACCATCCTTGTGTTTCAAGGGTAACTACTATCCTCAGTTCTAACACTGTAAGTCCATTTTGTCTATTTTTGAAATTACACATGTGAAAACATACAGGATGTATCTTCTTTCTAGCTTCTTTTGCTAAACATTGTGAGATTCATCTGTATTGCTGTACATAGTTGTAGTTCACTCATTGTCATTGCTGTTTTGTATTCCATTGTATAAATATACCTCAATTTGATTATCCATTCTAGCATAGGTGGACATTTGGGGTTTTTCCCCGTTTTCAGCTATTACAAATACTTCTGGTGTGACCATTCTTGTACTTATCTTCTGGTGAACATAGCTATGTGTTTCTGTTGGTTATATGCCTAGGAGTAGGATTCCTGGGTCTGTTCAGCTTTAAAAGATACTACCAAATAGTATTTCAGAGTAGTCATCCCAATTTACACTCCCACTAGCTGCATATGAGAATTCCATTTGCTCTGTATCCTTGCAAATCTTCAATATTATGTCTTTAATTTTAGCCATATCAATGATTTGCACATATACTGGTATCTTATGTTGGTTTTAGTTCACATTACCCTTGTTTCTATTGAGGTTTAACTCCTTTCATATGTATTGACTATTTAATTTTCATTTTATGTGAAGTAGCTTCAAGTTTTTTCCTCATTTTTCTCCTATAAGTTTGTCTTTTTAAAATTGATTTGTAGAATTTCTTTACATCCTCTAAGTAAGTCCTTTGCAAGTTAAATGTATCACAAATATTTCCTATTACTTTGTAGTTCCTCACTTTCTTTATGAAAGATATTTATAAATTATATATGTACATATATTTATTTGTATATTGACTTTATATTCAGAATATAATTGACTCTTATAATTAGCCTGTAGATTAATTTGGATTTTTTTTTTTGAGACAGAGTCTCGCTTTGTTGCCCAGGCTAGAGTGAGTGCCGTGGCATCAGCCTAGCTCACAGCAACCTCAAACTCCTGGGCTCAAGCAATCATACTGCCTCAGCCTCCTGAGTAGCTGGGACTACAGGCATGCACCACCATGCCTGGCTAATTTTTTCTCTATATATTAGTTGGCCAATTAATTTCTTTCTATTTTTAGTAGAGATGGGGTCTCACTTGCTCAGGCTGGTTTCGAACTCCTGACCTTGAGCAATCTGCCCATCTCGGCCTCCCAGAGTGCTAGGATTACAGCTGTGAGCCATTGCGCCTGGCCTGGATTTTTTATGTATACAAAAATACATGTAACAGTAAGAGTTTTGTTTCTTTCTCTCCAATACTTACATTTTTAATTTCTTTTTCTTGTGTCTATTGCACCTGTAGAGTCTGCAACACAATGCTGAAAAATATTGTATTAGTTTCCTGGGGCTGCTGTAAGAAAGTACCACAAACAGGATGCCTTAAAACAACAGAAATTTATTCTTTCAGATTTCTAGAGCCTAGAAGTCCAAAATCAAGGTGTTGGCCAGGCCATGCTCTCTGGAAAACTTGTAGGGGAATTCTTCCTGGCTTCTTCTTTGCTTCTGGTGTTTTGCTGGCTACTTTTGACTTTCCTTGGCTTGCAGCAGCATAACTCCAATCTCTGCATTCATCATCATCTGGTGTTCTCCCTGTGTGTCTCTGGCTTTTCAAGTGGCCACTTTATTTTAAGGACACCAGTTATATTGGCTTAGGGGCCCACCCTACTCCAGTATGACCTCATCTTTACTAATTCCATCTGTAAATGCCCTGTTTCCAAATGAGGTCACTTTGTGAGGTACTGGGGTATGGTGGGGGGCAAAATTCAACTCATAAAAGATGTGATGATAGTGGATGTCTCTGATCTTAGTGGAAAAACGTTCAATTTTTCATCATTAAGTGTAATGTTTGCTAAATTTCTTAGTAGATATTTGTTAACAGATTAAGGATGTTCCCTTTTATTTCTGGTTTGCTAAGCTCTGTGAAAATCATGATTTTTTTAAAAATGAAATTTGTTTGAAATTTATCAAATTCTTTTTCTGTATCTAATAAGATCATGATATGATTTTCACCTTTAGTCTATTGCTGTAGTGAATTACATTTATTTTTCTATTTTTCAAGAGAATTTCAGTCAAAAATATTAAAATTACAATTAACTTGGATTTCTGGGTTGGGTAACGTTTTGTTTCTTGACCTGAGTGCTGGTTGCACAAGTGTGACTGGTTTGTGAAAACTCACTACAATGTCTACTTATGACATGTTAAATAAAATTTCTCTTTGGAATAGAAGATTTTTTCTTCCAAATAATACCTAGCTGCCCCACCTTCCATTTATATTTACCTCCTGAGAGAGGTGAAGATCTGGGTTGCTAAGATGGAAGCAAGATCAAATCGTTGAATTGTGTACAACTGATACACAATATTCTTGCAAGCTCTTCTTTTTTCTTTTTCTTTTTCTTCTTTCAGAATTCAGTGTTTTAGTTTGCTTTTCAGTGATTCACTCAAGCCAAAGAAAGAGTTCACTTTTAGCATTACGTTGAGAGATTTTTGGAAGATTATTTTCTAGGTTGTCTTTAGACAATCTTTGTATCCGGTTTTTGCTATCTTTGCTTTAGCTCTGAGATTCTCCGACATGGATTTTTATGTTTTGAAATATTCTAAAGAATTCTATTTCTCCCCTTTTATATATAATATCTGCAGATATTACATATTATATGCCTGCGGAAATTGGTGTCTTACATTCTGCTTTCAAAATAGGTCTCCATTCTTCACAGCTTTGTTCCCAATTGGATTTTTGGGTAGAAGTGAGTTAAGTCTATTCATTTAATTTGGGAAGAACTGACATCCTTTTAGTTTTCCCTCTTTTCATTCAGGACAATGCTAAGCCTCTCCATTATTTCAAGTCTAATGTTATCCCACTCACGTATGATTATGATTCTGTAGTTTTCTTCATATAAGTTCTACACATTTCTTATCAGTTATTCCTAGTTGTTTTATGTTTTTTTGTTGTTGTTGTGATTGTTGCTATTGTGAATGGAACCTTTTTTTTTTTCATTCAAAAATGAATCCGTGGAGCCATAGGATCTCTACCACCCCTTTCAGCTGTGAGACTCTATGGTTACTCAGTTCTATGAGAACATTCTACTCGCGCCTACATTATCCGAACCCCCAGGAAGATGGCAACGTCGAGTCGCCAAGCCAAAGGCCGCTCTATCTCGCCTTTGTTCTCCTCTCGGTGGCTACTGCGCAGGCGCAATAACCCAAGTCCCGTCCCCGCCTTCCCTGTCGCGGGCCCAGCTCTGTAGCGCCGGCGCACTGGCGCGCTCCGTTTATACGCTCTGGGGCCTGTAGGCGCCGCGAGTTCCGGCTGTCGCCGTCGCCGTCGCGGCTCTTGGAGGTCGGTTGCGACGAGTAACGGCGCCAGGACAAGCCCTGCGCCTTCTTCTCGGATATGTACCCGAATTGGGGCCGGTATGGCGGGAGCAGCCACTACCCGCCGCCGCCGGTCCCTCCGCCGCCGCCGGTGGCGCTTCCTGAGGCCTCGCCGGGGCCCGGGTACTCGAGCTCGACGACTCCCGCGGCCCCCTCTTCCTCGGGCTTCATGAGCTTCCGCGAGCAGCACTTGGCGCAGCTCCAGCAGCTGCAGCAAATGCACCAGAAGCAAATGCAGTGCGTGCTCCAGCCCCACCACCTTCCTCCGCCCCCCTTGCCACCCCCGCCGGTGATGCCGGGGGGCGGCTACGGAGACTGGCAACCGCCGCCGCCACCGATGCCCCCACCACCTGGGCCGGTCCTCAGCTATCAGAAGCAGCAGCAGTACAAACACCAGATGCTCCACCACCAACGAGACGGGCCTCCTGGTTTGGTTCCAATGGAGTTGGATTCTCCCCCTGAATCTCCCCCTGTACCGCCCGGGTCTTATATGCCCCCATCTCAATCTTACATGCCCCCCCCTCAGCCGCCACCCTCGTACTACCCCCCTTCCTCATCTCAGCCCTACCTGCCTCCTGCTCAGCCATCCCCTTCACAGTCCCCACCTTCCCAGTCTTACCTGGCGCCCACGCCTTCTTATTCTTCCTCCTCTTCTTCACAATCCTATATGAGCCATTCCCAGCCCTACTTGCCCTCTTCTCAGGCATCTCCTTCGCGCCCCTCCCAGGGCCATTCTAAATCTCAACTATTAGCTCCTCCACCACCGTCAGCCACCTCTGGGAATAAAACAACTGTCCAGCAAGAGCCTTTGGAAAGTGGGACCAAGAACAGGAGTGCTGAACAGCAGCAAGCCACCCCTGAGCCAGATCCCTCTATGATGACTCCACAGGTAAGAAAGCATCTGCCTGAGCTGCATCTTCAACCTAGAGGGCCCTAAATGAGCAGGCCTCGGGGCTTTAACCAGTGCTTAGCCTAATTCCCACACACAATGACTAGCTAATTTACACTCTAAAGGTCTACATCAGAGTTACAAGGCTGACAACACAATTTTTAAATTAGCTCAATGTGGATTACTAAAAAGCAGTGTTTGAAGATGTGTCTAGATACCACATAGTAGAGGGGCGGTTCAAGAGTTACTTCTTAGATATATTCCTTGGTTTCCTTTGACCCACCTCTTAGATTTTGTTGCTGTTGCAAAGGTCCTTGTTTTAAACTAAAATTTCCATTTGAGAGGCAGCATAAAAAAGAAGCTTCTCAAAGGTTTGACACTTGAATGCATGTAAACTTTATGACCAATTAATGTCTTTAAAAAGTGTTATTTAGGGGCCAGGGATAGCTGTCAGCTTACTAAATTAAGAGTTCTCAGCAAATGAAGGATGGAAGTCTTGTCTTATCAGGAGCATCCTAATTGTGCTTATAGGTACATATACAATACATAAGTGAGTCTCTAGACATTTGACCCTTTTAGGGGTCTGTTGGTCTGTTTTAGAAATTGACCCATACATTCTTTTCTCACATTACTTAAAGATAGTTTTAAGACATGAACAGTTTCCTGCATTTCATTGTCATTACCATTCCCTCCAAAGTAACAGCCTTGGAATTTGGCCAAGCTAAAAAAAAGTTTTGTGATACCTCTTTGTGAGGGAGCTGTTCCTCTCAACTTCTCTTTGAAGTGGTGCTTTCGATAGGACAAAGATTGACAGGGTAGAGTAATACATGGATTCTCCCTTGACAAGGAAGGTAGAACCAAAGGGGAGTAAATCATTTGTTATGATTTCTAAAAATAGCTACTTTTAGTAATTTACCTTAGAGTTACTAAGGAAAAAAGAGAATCTTGTAATATAAAAGCTCAGATTTACATATAAAAGATTTCCAAAAGATGAGGATGCAGTATTCTAATTTTGCGGTGGTTTGGCATTAGAAATTTAAAACAGAAGCAAGTTGTTTTAAGAAATGATGCTTGGCACATCATCTGGAGAAAACACTTGAGATGCTGAGATAAAATAGTAGAATAGTGATTATTTTGGCTTATACCAAATGTGCACCATCCCACCAGGTTATTTTCACCAGATTGCTCTATTATAGAGACAGAATTTCTCTTCCTTTCCCACTCCACTCTGAAATTTCCAATGCTTTTGTTGTCAAACATTGAGTTAGTCCAAATCAAAATAGGACGTTTATATCTTCATCTCTACTAGACTTTTTTTCTGCCCTTGTGGAGAGACAAATGAATTGTGTTTTTGGCTTTTATTTTTGGAAGGGGGGTGTGTCAGATGGGGCCTTAAGATGAATACTAAACATGAACACTGCTTTTGCTTTTCTGCCTTTATACCTTTGTCTGTAATGAACTTCTTTCAATGTCTTGAATATTTAGTGCCTCCAATTCTTTGCTGAGAGGCAGAAAGAAAGTGGTGGAAGATGACACTGAGGGATGCCTATGGGCCAGATCAAGAAGAGCCTTAAGGGCTCTTCTGTGGCTTTCTTGCCTTTGTCTAGAATTCATCCCAACTTCCTCAACCCTCTCTTTCCCCGTTACACTTGTATTGCTTTTAAGGCCTATCTCAAATATCAAGGTCTCCATGAAGCTGTGCTTGGGCTCACCCATCTGGTTTGGTTCTGTTCTTCAGATTGTAAGTCTCTTGCAGACAGGGACTGTCTCAATTATCTTCTTATCTCTATAGCACCTAGGACAGGGCCTTGCAAATTTTAGGCTCTTCACAAAGATTTGTTGAATGAGATACGAGAGTTTTCGTGTTCTAGACTACGGATACTTTGGTTTATTGGATGATAAATGTATCTTCATACCAGTGCCAGTCTCTGACAATCCTACATATGTATTATTCTTTGATTCTTATTTTATTTTTGGAATGTGTGATTCAAAAATTATGATGAAAAGTTTAAAATGGTATACAGAATAGAAAAAATTACATGATTTCCCTTACATGCTCTTCGTTCAGATTCAACAACTATCAAGATTTTGCTGGATTTACTTTACCAAGGCCTTTTTTGTTGCTGCTGAAATATTTTAAAGCAAATCTTAGATCTTATGTCATTCCATTTCATCCCTGCATTCTTAATTAGGGCTTTTTCCTAAACACATTATGACACCTAAAAAAGTTAAGTTTCTTGGTATCATACCCGTTATTCAGATTTCTCCTGTTATCTCATCATACTAATGGAATTAAAAATAATTCCTGCTGTCATCCATGTTAAAATTCCTCAAATTGACTTGATAATGTTTTATTGGTTTGTTCAAATCAGGATCCAAACAGGGTATATAAAAGACTCTTTTAGTATACATCAGAGTTTCTCAACTTAAGCGCTATAGACATTTTGGGCAGAATAATTCTTTGTTATGGAAACTTGTCCTGTGTGTCATAGGATGTTTAGTGGCATTCGTAACCTCTACCCACTAGAGGCCAGTGGCAATCCCTAGTCTGATAACAAAAAATGTTTCCAGACATTGCCAAATTTCCCTTTGGGGGCAAAACTGCCCTGGATTGAGAACATCTGATCTATATCAGTCCCTCCTATTCCCTTTTTCTACCTCCTCCCTTTGAACTTGATGAAAAATCTGTATCACTTGTTCTGTAGAATGTCCCACATTCTGCATTTGTCTGTTTTCTCTTGGTGTCATTTGATTTGTTCCTCTGTCTTCCATGTTTTTTGTAAGTTAGAAGCTAACTTTGAAACCTTTTTAGATTTAAGTTCAGCTTTCTTTTGGCAAGTGTAGCTTTATAAGTGGTGGTGTGTATTTCATTTATATCCTATCATGAAGCACACAATGCGTGATTGTCCAAGTGTTAGTGGTGCCAAGATTGATCAATAGGTTCAGTTGATGATATGCTGGTCCCTCTACTGTAAAGCTTCCCATCCATCTTCCATCTAATGTTCATCTGGTGGTTCATTCATTGATGATCTTTGCCTAAATAAATTATTTGATTAGGGGTTGCAACATGGTGACTCTTTCCACCCTGACATTTCTTCCACATTTGCTATATGAAATCCTGTTAAGAAAAACTTTCTTTTTTTTTTGAGACAGAGTCTCATTCTATCATCTGGGGTAGAATGCCATGGCATCAGCCTAACTCACAGCAACCTCAAACTACTGAGCTCAAGTGATCCTCCTGCCTCAGCCTCCTGAGTAGCTGGGACTACAGGCATGTACCACCACGCCTGGGTAATTTTTTCTATTTTTACTAGAAACAGGGTCTCACTTGCCCAGGCTGGTCTTGAACTGCTGATCTCAAGGGATACTCCCGCCTCTGCCTCCCAGAGTGCTAGGATTATAGGCATGAGCCACCACACTGGCCATGTAAAGAAAAATTTTCACTCATGAATCAAGGCTATTTGATTGAAAATGAAGTTAGTATAGGAAAGACAGAATGGAGAAATACTTGATATACTTCCATTTGTTTTCTAGTTTTCCAGGTAGAGCATTAATGATTTAATGGAATGTGTCTTTTTGAAGATTTAACTCTCCTGTGTGTTTAAAGGACTGACTGACTTACGTAAAGCTGTTGGCTTTGATTTGAGTTTTTAGGGATGTCATTTATTTAATGTTTAAGTATTTGTTGCCAAGTACTGGGCTTAATATGGAAATGAGATAGATATGTTGCCTACTCTAAGTGACTTGTTGTTCCAATTGGGGATGGAGGAGAAGATATTTAATAAGTAATTAATAGAATTACAGGGTGCTATGGGATTATAAAAAAAAATACCACTAGACTGTTCCATAGGAACTGGAAAAGGTGGGCTTTTTTTTTTAAGCTCACTATTGTATTCACAGTGCCACACAAATAGGGTTTAGCACATAGTATTAATAGATGGAGAACAAATATGTTTTAAATGAGAGCTTTAACCTAATTGAAGAGGCCTCCCTTTATAAAGTGATATTTAAGTGAAACCTAAAGAATGAGGAGGAATTAACCAGATAGAGTTCAAAGAATTAAGTAAGTTCAGTAGGGTTCACTGAAAGCCCAGGGTGCGAGTGGTAGGCATGAATCAGATCAGGGAAGGCCTATAAAAACTTTATTCTGAGGGCAGTAGTAAGTCACTGAAGGATTTTATATAGGCAGATGTGACAGATTGGCATTTTTGAAAGCTCACTGTGCCTGTAGTGTGGAGAGTGGAATCAAAAGGAGCAAGAGTGATTTAGAGAGAACAGTTATTGAAGTAATCCAGGCAAGAGATAATAGTGGTTTGGACTTGGATGGCATTACTGTAGATGGAGAGAAGCAGAAAGACCAGAGAAATATTGAACTGCTAGAATCCAGTTGGAGATTGAATAGTTGTGGACAGGGAGGCATCAAGAATGATTCCTAGGTTTCTGGGGTGGGCTGCTAGTTACATTTAGTAAAAGTCCTGTTTACTAAAATAGAAAAACCTAGATGAAGAGGAGGAAGAACGAGTCTGGGAATGAGGGAGAAATGATGAGTTAAGTTTTAGTTTTCATACTGAGTTTGAGGTCCTTGAGACATAGATTCCAAAGGGAGATGTCCAGTTGGAATCCAGACTTAGATATAGGTCTGCAGTCTAGAAGCAAGATCTGGGTGACATAATAGGTTTGTAAGTCATCAGCATAAAAATGGTATTTGAAGACATGGAAATAGATGAGGTCTCCCAAGGAGTGTGTGTAGAATAAGAACATAAGTTAAAGGACATTGAGCCTACTGATACAGAATAGCAGCATCTAAGGGACTCAATGGAAGAAAGGTTGAATAGGTAGATGGAAAATGAAGACAACACAGTGCCACAGAAATGAAAGGGAAGACTCTTTCTAGGAGGAGGGAGTAGTCAGCTGTATCAAGTACTGCTGAGAGGTCAAGCAAGATAAAGACTTTGAGGTATCTTTTGCACTTACTGACATGTAGATTATTGTTGACCTTGGCAGGAGGAGTTTCATAGTGACTGAAGCCATATTGCATTGATTTGAGGAGTGATGGAAGGTGAGGAAATGGGGATGGTGAGTATAGACAACTCTTCAAGAAGTTTGACTGAAGGAGAGTGAGAGAGAATGAGGAAAAGAGCTGGGGGAAGAGGTGAAGTAAAGGAACATTTTTTTTAAAGATGGAGACTAAGGTTATCTGGTGACACTGATTCCTACAGTAGAATGTGAATCTCAAAAATATTTAAAATAGATGTATTTTAAATAAGTTTCTAAAATGGAAACCCAGTTCATTATTTTACCAGGTTTTTCTACCTCTTGCTTTAGGATGTAAGATACAAATGCAGGCATTTGTAATAATAAACCTGGATAGGGAAGGTAACCTTCCAAAATTAATCTTTAAAACATTACACACAAACACCCACCTCTACATTTCCCTACATGGAAAATCATTTAGTACCTAATTCCTTACTTTACCAATAGTAAGTGGTAAGCGCTTCTTGAGTAAGTTAGCATCTTTTTTAGTAATGATATTTGTAACAAATAGTTCTCACATTCTTTACATTTTAAATGCCTTCATGCTGCCTCTTTTTAAATGTGAAGATTTCCTTCTATCTATGAACCAACATTATGAGATGTAGTTGTCTGCCATGGTGGGACATTCAGAACTGGTGTCATTAGCAAGTTCGGGCATGTTTTTCCTTTCTAAAATAGAGATAATCACCCTTCTCTTGGATCACCAAGGACATTTCCAAGTGATGTCATTTTTATTTATTTGTAGAGTTTCAAAAATGTGCTGAAGCCTAGTCCTAGGATTGAATAAGATCTGGTTACTGCTTATAGGGTTCATATTAAATAGAAATTGACCTATAAGGCAGTGAATCAACAAGTACTTGAGCCCTTAACAAGTTTCATAAACCTGGACTGGATCAAAGATGGGAAGTATGAGAGTAGGTGGGTGCAAATGGATAAACAATCTAGACCTGTATGATCTTCATATCTGTAGCCATTGGCTTCTAGTTTGTGAAAGATAGTTTGCAATGCATCTTTGTATCTTTTAGCGATGCTTTCAAAGCAACTTTAAAAAAGAAAACTTTTAACTTCTATTTGAAAGAGACTGAATTTATTAATATTTTAAGCTGAAGGATAGGCCTGTTGATGTTTTCGGTATTTTCTTAAAATAATAGAGGAAAGTTGAAAGTGTTTTTAATACTACATTATTGTTGACTGTCATGGTCCATGTGCTTTGTTTTTTTATGTTGAGTAATAAAAATACAGATGCTCTTTGACTTACAATGAAGCATATCCCAATAAATTCATTGTAAGTTGAAAATATTTTAAGTCGATAATACACTTAATATATCGAACTTAACCAAACCTTATAACTCAGCCTAGTCTACCTTAAATGTTCTCAGAACACTTACATTAGCCCACAGTTGGGCAGAATCATCTGGCAACACAGAACACTGTAGCATATCGGTTGTTTACCCTTGTGATTGTGTGGTTGACTGGGAGCTGTGGCTCAGTGTCACTGCCCAGCATCAAGAGAGTACCAGGCTGAATATCACTAGCCTGGGAAAAGATCAAAATTCAAAATTCGAAGTATGGTTTCTACTGAATGAATATTTTTACACCATAATAAAGTAAAAAAAAAAATCTTACATGGAACCATTGTAAGTCAAGGACTGTCTGTAATTATATCCTGGGAGCTGATGATTATGGATATGATAATTAAAAGTGAAAAACCCAGTCAGGGGCCAGACTTCAAGATGAAGTTAGTGAGATGGAATGTATTCTTCCCAATAGGTTGGAATAAGTTTCAGGTTTCAGGTTATGGAAATGAGTGACCTAGAAGGGAAGTCTTCAACTAATCAATAACCATTTATTGACATCCTACTGTGTGCTCAGGCACTATGTTTAAGTACCAGGTGGGATATAAGAAAAGCAAAAGGCATCTCTCCCCTAAGAAAATTATATTCTTTGAGTGAAAAACAGATAATAACCAGTGTGTCTGGTGAAAAAAAGTACATATTATGTATATTTTATCCATCTGTTTGCATATGGAAAATTGGGAGAGATAGAACATAAATTACCAGGATTTCCTGTATTGTTACTAATGTTTATTATATAAAATAAAATATTAACAATATAGGAAATGTGATTATGCAAAAGGTAATTGGATTAGAAAATGAGCAAGTAGAATGAATCCATTTAACACAGATACCAAAAGATTATTATAAGAAAGTAAAAAATTTGATTGCTTCAACCTGAGAAAGCTGATTGAAAAAAAAAAATTAAAGCCCAATCTGTAAAAACAAAGCTGAAAATGATAAGAATAAGCTGATTTTATATTTAATGGAATTGTTATAAATGAAAATATAACTGAGTCTTAGAATAAACAAAGTGTAGATTGGGTTTCTGTGTTATAGAAACACAGATTATTCTTTTTTGCAGTTCCTATTGTAAAGTTCTCTTTGGTGGTTAATTGGTAGGATTTCTGCCATATCCTCAGCTCACAATAATGAGTTCTAGAGTTCTCCAACATCACTTTCATTAAATAATACCACATCCTTATAACTGTAGTGAGAACATATGCTTTTGCTAATCATAGAAGTATGTAGGGCAGTTCATCAGTAAATATTTTAGTGTTATGATAACTTTTTTTGGTTATGCAACCTTGGGAAATTGTATAATTACTAGAATGACAATCCTATAGTTGTTTCTGAGTGGGGATTTTTAAATTTATTTTAATTAATTAGATATTACTTATTGTACAGTCCATTTTCTTTGAAGTATTTATAAAGTCACCACAAACACTGAATTAGTGAATACTGAACCCATTGCTCCTAGGGAAATACAGGGTTAGATTCCTGTGAGCCTTTGGTCACATTTTCATCAACCAATCAATACGTAACCTTGTTTATATGTGCTTATGTTTTAAAACACCTTATTTAATACATATTACTAACATTGAACTCATAGCCAGTAGCACTGTAACACTTGCCTGAACAAAGCTTACCCAACATATTTTCTCCCGTAAGGCACGTTACAGCTTTCTTGCTCTTAGAAACAGTAGACAGCACTTTGGCACTACACTTGGGGGCCATTTTAAGCAGCAAAATCACCAAGAAAAAGCCCAAAAGTGTGAAAATGTGGCATTAAGTAGCCTGTGAAAAGGACGCTTTATTTACAGTATGAAAGCTGGAACAAGAAGGCAGAACCTCACTTTTGTTCTGCCTCAGCTGGGAGTGTGTGTATCAGGAAACTCACATTTTTTACTGCTCTCCACATGTTCATGAATGACTGGAACAGCTCAGCAAGTATTGATTTTGGGTTTAGAAATACATTTTAGCAAGTAGGCAAATTGGCAAGTAAAGAATCTATGAATAATAAGGATAGGCTGTATTTTCTAATTTTTTTCCCATGCTGAGCTTATTATTGTAATTTTTTAAAAAATGAAAGCACAAAACAAGCTTCCAGAAAATTAAATTACAGTATAATTTGGAAGATAAAGTTGAGACTTTTAAGATAAACAGAAAGCATTTTAAAACATAGTATAATCTCTGTTTGTGTATATGTCTAAATGCTGATAGACTAATGCCACAACAGGTGCTTAAAGAGGGAGGAACACTGGAGGAGAGAAAAGGGAGAGAGAAGAGGTAGGACTATTTGGTTATATTCATTAATTATAAGATCCCTGTGGATAAATCTGATGAACAAACTGGAGGAGGTTAAAAATAAGTAGCTGTGATTAGCCGGGCATGGTGGCATATGCCTGTAGTCCCAGCTACTCAGGAGGCTGAGGCAGGAGGATTGCTTGAGCCCAGGAGTTTGAGGTTGCTGTGAGCTAGGCTGACTCCACGGCACTCTAGCCCAAGCAACAGAGTGAGACTCTGTCTTAGAAAAAAATAAAAATAAAAAAAAAAAATAACTAGCTGTGAATACTGAAGAGATTTACTGAATAGAGAAGTCTGTTGAATTAATATGTATGGTTTAACTTATTTGCCTTTCTCAGCCCAGCTTTACTTTTTCTTACATATAGACACATGAGCACAAATACAAATGTAGTTCCCTGTCAACACCAACTTGCAGAGATAACATGATTGTCAATTAAAATTCTTAAAAATTGTCTCTGTTGTAGGAACAGCAGCAGTATTGGTATCGACAGCACTTGCTTAGTTTGCAGCAGAGGACAAAAGTGCACTTGCCAGGACACAAAAAGGGTCCTGTCATAGCAAAGGATGCCCCAGAGCCAGTAAAAGAAGAAGTTACGGTACCTGCCACCAGTCAAATTTCAGAACCCCCTTCATCTGAGGAGCCCCCATTACCACCTCCAAATGAGGAGGTACCACCTCCTCTCCCACCTGAGGAACCCCAGGTAACCATATAATTGATTATTTGGTATTTATTAAATTGTTCGGTTTTTTTCTGATCATTTATCTACACTTTTGTCATAAATGAATATATATTTTCATGTTTTTTAAGTGCCTATAAAATTGTATTTGTGAAATAATCAGGTGTCTGCTATATCAGGTTTAAAAAAGGAATTTTTTTCCTGGTTTAAGTGAGAGTGAAGAACTAGATACTCTTCTGAATTGAGTATCTCATAACACTAAATGGAGATGCCAGCATGTGTTCATAATGACAGCACAGGGCAATAGTTAAGAGCTTCAGCTTTTAGAGTCAAGTTACCCATGCTGTAGTTCATGCATTGCCACTTGCTAATGGTGACCCTGAGGAAGTTAGTTAACCATTCTGTGCTTTAATTTTCTCTTCTGCAAAATGGGCTTATTCAATAGTAGCTATCATACAGAGAGAGTTGTTGAAGCATTAAATGTGATAATCCTTATCACTCAGCATAGTGACTGGCACATGGGAAGTTCTCACATTGGTCCAAAAGTCGTTGTTCTACTGAGAGCCTTATGTGAATATTGAACCATAATGATTACATTGTAGTCCACTGGTGAAAAGTGACACACACACAAAAAAAGAATTTTTCAGAATGAAAAGGACTATAATTACAAATTCACTTTCTGCTGGGTTGTCATCTTTAAGAAGAATGAGATTATTAGTCCAGTGAAGACTATGGAATTTATAAACTCATTTGTATTAGTATCCATAGTAACAGTATAGGTAGAGCTATGTGTTTTTTTAAAGACAGAACAGTTTTTCTCAGTCTAAAAACAACTAAAATATATCAAGTGTTGGCAATTAAATGTTTCTGAGTTGTAGGGATTCAGGACTTTAGAATTTATATAAAATATTAATTTGGTTGCCATTTTATGACTTGCATAAAAATGTATCTCCTTTTATCTTTAGTCTGAGGACCCAGAAGAAGATGCCAGGTTAAAACAGTTGCAGGCTGCAGCAGCACACTGGCAGCAGCACCAGCAACATCGAGTTGGTTTCCAGTATCAGGGAATAATGCAGAAGCACACTCAGTTACAGCAGATCCTACAGCAGTACCAGCAGATTATACAGCACCCACCACATATCCAGGCAAGTGCTTCTATAGCTGACAAATAGGAAGTTGCCCCAAGACATTTAATGTTTCCCAGTGGGTGCCTAAGTAGTTATCTATCACATTACTTGGGGTTTAGTGGAGTCTCCTAGTCATGTCAACCCAGGCTAGATGTTAGAGCACTATTGCTAAGGGATTTAAGAGCCTGGGATTTTTCCATGTAGTTACAAATTAACTTGTGTTTTGCCTACGCACCACTACAGTAACAGATAAGCAAAAAGGCCTAAACAACCATCACAAAAAACCTAAGCAAATATATACCATAAAAGATAAAATGACTTAGATATGTATCTTCTATCTTTTAGGTATCATCTTGTATTTATATATCTATAATAATAGATCATTTTTCAAGTTCTTAAAATGATCCATAGTAATATTAAAAACTTGAAAAATACTTATTGCTGGAGTAGATATTTGCTTTTGTGTTTGGTTGTTTTTTTCCAACTGTGTGATAAGTTATATTAATAAGCCAAGAGAAGAAAGAAGGATCGTCACTCAAAGAATTGGACAAGCTTATCCTTAGCTTCCCAACATCTTTAGTGTTTGGATTTCCTAAGGCTTCAAATGTCCTTGATTCATTAATATTTTAATCTGTGATTAATTCTCTAATGTGAATGTTTTGAAATCATTTTTATCCCTTTATTTGTAGACCATGTCTGTAGATATGCAGCTGCGGCATTATGAGATGCAGCAGCAACAGTTTCAACATCTTTACCAAGAATGGGAGCGAGAGTTTCAGCTGTGGGAGGAACAGCTCCATTCCTATCCTCATAAAGATCAGCTTCAGGAATATGAGAAGCAGTGGAAAACATGGCAGGGACATATGAAAGCCACTCAGACTTATCTCCAGGAGAAAGTCAGTTCATTCCAGAACATGAAGAACCAGTATATGGGAAACATGTCAATGCCACCTCCTTTTGTTCCATATTCTCAGATGCCTCCACCTCTACCAACAATGCCCCCTCCAGTATTGCCTCCATCATTGCCACCACCAGTGATGCCCCCTGCCCTCCCTGCTACAGTGCCACCACCTGGCATGCCCCCACCTGTGATGCCACCTTCTCTACCCACCTCTGTACCCCCACCAGGGATGCCTCCATCTCTTTCTTCAACAGGGCCACCACCAGTTCTTCCCCCACCTTCCCTTTCTTCTGCAGGGCCACCTCCAGTTCTTCCCCCACCATCTCTCTCTTCAACAGCACCTCCACCTGTCTTGCCCCTTCCACCACTATCTTCAGCCACACCTCCTCCAGGAATACCTCCTCCTGGAGTTCCACAAGGGATACCTCCTCCGTTAACAGCAGCCCCAGTTCCACCAGCTTCCGGTTCTCAGAGCTCACAAGTCCCAGAGAAACCTAGACCAGCACTGCTTCCCACTCCTGTGTCTTTTGGTCCTGCCCCACCCTCAACTTACCATCCTCCATTGCAATCAGCTGTTGGTCCATCAGAACAAGTGACTTCTAAAACTCCTCTGAGCAAGTCTACTCTGCCATACGGTTCATTCTCATCTGAGCAAGGACTTGGGGAATCTTCAGCTGCTCCATCTCAACCAATCACTGCAGTTAAGGACATGCCAGTGAGGTCAGGTGGCCTGCTTCCAGATCCTCCTAGAAGCAGTTACTTGGAAGGTCCAAGAGGCCCAAGGTAAGTCTGCTATTCTTTTCTTTTTTTGGCTTGGCTGTTTTGTTGAGTTAGGCTGCATAGGCCTTGGTGGTATAAATAGCTTCATTTATACAATTTTATATTCTCTTTGTATTTTTATATATTAATATATTTTAGGTTTACAATTTATGATGATGTTGCTTGCTATATAAACATGACATAATCTAATCTAGAAAAGGTAACATGCCCCTATTTCTTTGCTGTCACTGCTTTTATCCCATATGTAGAGATTACAGTCCAGAATGAATACAGTGTTGTAATGCTTATCATTTCTTATTGACTTTTCAGCTTTAAAAATAATGTTCTTAAAGCTTATTTATCTTTTTACTTTTTATTTATTTGACAAATAATTGAATAGATAACTGCTCTTTGTTAGATTACATGCTAGTTGTTAGAGATAAAGATGAATAAACCAATATTGTACTGAAATAATAAATTAGCATGAGGGTAAATAGGGCTTTTGTCCATTTGCTCAGCAAATCTTAACGTCCTGCTCTGTACCCACAGCAGTGAATGTAACAGGACAGAATTCCTGCCCCTATGGAGCTTACATTCTTTGTATTTTAAAGGTGTTAAATTCATTTTTCCAAGTTTATAAAAATATATTTTTCTCCATAAACTGACCTAAATTATAATTTTGCTATAGAAAAATATTTGTAATTGGATTTTTTTCCAGTTGGAAATTATAGAAATATATACTTCCTATGCAAAATTTAGACATTACAGAAAAGTAGAAGTCCCCTAATTCCATCATCTGGAGATAATCATTTTAAAAATATGTCATTAAAAAGGGATCATACTGAATATATTGTAACTTGGTTTTTTTTCCCACTAATCCATATATTGCTTAGGTTTCCATCTCAATATCAATGGATGTATATCGTCATTTTAAATTTAAACCTTATTTTAACATTTGAAAATAAAATATATCTTTTATTTGTTCCCCAAGTTTATGATTCTGAAAACAAAGTGGCACAAAGCTCCATCCCAAATCAAAGAGAAATTTAGGAGCATAAATTCCTCTGTGTACCAACAAGCCTTGCTAGAGACTCTACATACATTATTATCTCATGGGAGTCTTCTCAGCACGCTGTGAACAAGGCTGGTTATTCTACATTTACCCTTTGCAAACTGGAACTGAGAGGATAAGGTGACTTGCTCAGTCAGGATTAGTAACTGAGAGAGTAGAACCTGAGTCCACACCCCCATGATGCTGAGTCTAGGGGGGTCTCCAAAGCAAAACCACCAGTTAAGCATTGTGTTTTCAACGCCATGATTCAAATCCATGCTATCATTGATTACAAATACATTTGTAGTCTTGATTTATTTGGTTTGTGGATCATCTTCTTGATTTGAATTCGTACTTAACTTCTGGAACAAGCATTGCCTTTTAGATCTAGTGACTAATTTGCTATCAGAGAAGAACATTCTTAACACCTCCTAAAACACACATTTCCTGCTCCCTTGAATTCTGTCACAGCAATGTTTTCTCTCTTTGCCTACCAAATCTTGGCTTTGTAAATTTAGGACCTATTTTAAGTTTTTTCTTACTTTAAAGGTACAGTTAATAATCACAGTGCTGAGGGGATCTTAGCAATTATCTAGTCTAATATCCCTTTAGAGCAACTCATATTTGTGTTGCATTTTAGTTTATTGTGTTAGGTCTTGCACATATCACCTTATTTATTCCTGTCAGTGATCTCATGAGGTAAATAGATAGGGAATGAAAGACTTAGAGAGGTTATAAATATATTGCCCCAGATGGCATAGCTAGTAAATGGTTGAGATGATATATAGAATCTAATGCCCTCTGATTCAGTGTTATATCCACTGTACTTCCTGTGACAGTTGATGAACTCTTCTTCAACATTGGCACTTTATAAGGCCCACTGCCATATAAGGTGTTGGCAGTTTTCTAGAAAGCTTATTTTTTATATTGAACCTAAATATGCTTTAGTAACTTTTACCTAGTGATTCTAGATCTGTATCTGTGTGACAACACAGGATGAATTCTCCCATCTCTATTCTACAGTGTGTCACTACAGTTATCTAAAAACTACCCTGTATCTCCCCACCCTGACTTACCCACTGTTCTGGGCCAGTCACATAAATTCAAATTCTTTATTTCTCACATTAACATTGGTTCTAACCTCCTCCTCCTTTACTGTTCACTGTCCTTTGGTTCGTTAGTCTCTTTCAGAATGACACTTCAGAAGCAGAACACGTTAGGCCTATTACCGATGCTTAACAAATTGCTTATTTTTTTGTCAGTGCTCTTACAGTGTTGCCTTATGTTGAACTTAATGTTAATTTAGCTTCCCAAGTCTTTTTTGTATTAGCTTATTATTAAGCCAAGTCTCTCTCATCCTGAACTTGTGCAGTTGTTTTTTGTTTGTTTTGTTTGGATTCTTTTTCTAAGACTTTACATTCATCTTTACATTTTTGTCTAGTTAGGCTTGTGCGTCATTTTAGTCTGCTGAAGTCTTGGTGAATGTTGGTTGTTTTAGGTGTGTGATATCTCTCTCTGGCATTTTCACCTGCAGGTTTGATAAAGATGGCTTTTTTGGTCCTTGAATTGGATCCTGCTCACATTGTCCACCTTGTTTTGAAAATCTTTCCCCAACCTAGCTTATGTCATTGCCATATTTTTCACCCTTCTACTTCTTTTGCTCATTTAGCCCTTAAAGCAGGAGTCCTCAAACTATGGCCTGCTGGCCACATGCGGGTGTTTTTGCCCCTTTGTTTTTTTACTTCAAAATAAGATATGTGCAGTGTGCATAGGAATTTGTTCATAGTTTTTTTAAAACTATACTCCAGCCCTCCAACTGTCTAAGGGACAGTGAACTGGCCCTCTGTTTAAAAAGTTCGAGGACCCCTGTGTTAAAGAGTATAGTTAACCCAGGCATAGTTCTTTTTTTTACTGTGTAACTAGGTAAAAAACACATTGATGGGAAGCTGGCTAGTGAGTAAAAGAGACTAAAGTAAGAATAATCTACACTATTAAGAAACTGGTGAACTTCCTTTATTAATTGAATTCAGATTTTACTATAAACACATAACTGATAATGATAAACCACCATTTTTTTAAAATAAGCAAAGCTGGGTAGAGAATCAAGAATTTAGAACAAAGCTAAACTAATTTACCACTAACATAAAGTACTGTAAATTGCTTTGAGTTTTTGCAAAATCTAGATGTAGGGTGCTTTCTAAAAGCAAGATTTTTAAAATGTCAAGTGACAAAACTGCGTCACGTGTAAATAGCATACCACTTTGTTCTGCTTTTATGACACTGTGTGTTATGTATCATTGGATTCACCAAGTCTTCCAAAAGACTACTTGTGGCTCCTATAAACTGTCATATCACCTTAACATTTGTATCCCCATAATATGCTGAAATTAAAAAATAAATAAATAAATAAACTGTTATATCAGTGGATGTTTCCTAGAACCTTTATTTTTCAATAATAAAACCTATTGAAGGGTAATAGAAGTACACAATCTTAAGTGTACTGCTTAGTGAATTTTCACAAAATAAACACAACCCATGTTATCACTACTAAGGTCAAGAAATAGAAATAACTAGTGCCCAAGAAGTCCCCTTTATCCCCTCTTAGTCATTTTCTCCCACCCCAAAGATAACCACTATACTGAGCGATAGATTAATTTTGCCTATTTTTGAACTTTGTATTAATGGAATCATATTGTATGTACTCTTATGAGTCTGGCATCTTTCACTTGACATTGTATTACTTGAGATTCATCCATGTTGTAAATAGCAGTAGTTTGTTTATTCTCATCCCTATACAATATTCCATTGTATGAATATGCCATAGTCCATTTATCCATTTTAATATTGATGGTCATTGATGTTTTTTGGTTATTATGGAAGATGCTGCTATGTGTATTTTTATGCTGTGTATATCTCTTTAGGTGCATGTGTGCTTGTGTGTATTTATTTTTTGTTTGGATATATGCTGAAGATTGTAATTGCTTAATTCTAGGTATGTACACGTTCTGCATTGATAGATACTGTTGAACAGTTTTCCAAAGTGGTTGTTTCACTTTACACTGTCACCAGCAATGTTTCAGTGTTCTAGTTTTTTTGCCTCCTCATCAACACTTGATATTGTTAAACTTTTAAATGTTAGCAATCTTAGTGGATGTTTAGTGGTATCATGATAATGGTTTTAATTTACATTTCCCTGATAATTGAGGTTGTACTCCTTTCCATTAGATTATTAATCAGTTGGATTTCCACTTTTATGAAATGCTGATTCAAGGTTTTTTTCCCCATTTTTCTATTGGGTTTTATTTCTTATTGATATGCAAGAGTTCTTTGTATATTCTAGATGTCAGTTCTTTATCCATTATATGTGTTGCAGATTTCTCACTCTGCAGCACTTTTTACTTTCTTAACCCCCATTTACCAGAAAAGTAGAAGAATAAAGAGATAATGAAAAACAACTTACTAGAAATTTTAATAAAAATTTTAAAAGAATAAAACTTTGCATCAAAGTAAATTTTGGCACACAAATGTCATAAAAGGTGAAATAATTCTGTCACATATCCTTTTAGCAAATTGGGATGGTCCAGGTTTTTGCCACAAAATATATGATAAAGTCTTTCCTATTTAATGATAATAAATGAATGACAGTTCTACATTTCCTTCCCGTCTTTGGAAATACATTATTCGTTCATCGAATCTTGAGTTTGAGAATATTCATCTAGGATGTTGTCATCTGAGGACTCACAGAGCTTTCACTTACATGATCAATTTAATGTCATTTTTAGAGCCTAGTATGCTGCTGTCTCTTTGCACTTATGTTTTAAATTTTGAAACAACTTTCTGTGTCAGTTCTGTTTATCATTATAGTCAGGAAATGAAAAATTCTGAATTTCAATTGTGCTCAATGAAACCTAAAAGCAGACTGTAATATTTTGGGCAATGCAAGGGTGATGGCAACTTATTTTACCTTTGTTTC